ATTTAGGATCACTTATGATTGGCATCATTAATTTTAACAGAACGTTGTTATATGTGAAAACTCCTATTTAGTAAAAGGCACTCAGTTGATCGCATCACTTTCATCAAGGGGAATAACCTCTGCGACATAGCAAATGGGTCAATTTCCTTCTTTCGCCGAGCACGTAAATGCATAAAGATGCTGTGCGAAACATTGCATCATCCAATCGAACTTTTGCTCATGGGCTTGTTCGTACTTTTCTATTCCGGAAATCGGTCGATTAATTGGCAGAGTTTAGCAACACAAACTTAAGATGCCAGTAAGACAGCGGTATCTGTTGAACAATAAATTGTCCCAGACACTATTTCGCTTTTAGCAAACGACAAATGAGGAACAAGCCGCAAAGAGGTAATCACCTCGGCTGCAGCAGAAGGTCGTCAAAAGCACTTTATACCTAAAATAGGTTTAAAATGTCGTATTCGCTTCCGCTGCCACCAGTGTAGCGTCCCGAGACCTCCTGGTCGGTAATAAGTAGTCATTAAGTACAGGTGGATACATGAATTCTGAAGACGACAGGGCAAATGGGCCTGGATATGGCCCGAAGGCCAGCCCACGTGTACAAGAGCCAGACAAACCCTAAAGTGACCGCTAAACGTCAGGTAGCCACATAAACAAAGTATCACAGCAGTACATTATTTATATGACTACTTATATGATTAGCGGTCACTTTTGTTCACCTTGCCCTTCGGTGTTTGGATCAAAGATCTATGTCTTCTCCTATTCTTCAGAGACAAGTATTTAGTCATGCTAAGTGCTTTCAAATGTCACATAGAAGGCTCGGAATCGTTACATCACCAGTATCGGATGCCATCTCTTAAGCGACCACTTTGCCTTTGCCGAATCGATTCGACTTCGGACCTGTAGCTCCCCCAGATTTCCTACTAGGTAGAAGAAGAAATATAGCCTGGGCTTGGCCCGAAAGCCAGCCTGAACAAATCCTAAAAGTAATCGCCAGACATAAGATGATCACATAAGCAAAGTATTCCGGATTCACGCTCAATGCTCACTCTTCTTGGCCTTTTTCTGGATCTATTTATTCAACCCAAACACTGTATTTCCGCTTTCCTGTAAAATGTCACGGCCCTTCAGACAGCTATTACTGTTACCTTCTACAGGGCCTCCCAGCCTACACTTGCGTTCTTAAAACACTGAATTCGTGTTCGAATTTATCACCCATCTCTCCCCTATAATGCAGCTTAAACATTTGTATATAAATTACATCTTCATCAGTATTTATCGTTACAGGCCATGGTAATTGAACTTAGATATGTAGCATCCTGAGGCATTCGATTAGGTTAGAGATGGCATAAGATCTGGTGGGATGCTTGTAGTTGGACAGCGGGAAAAGTGGAGCTTCAGCGTGGCTTAAAGACCAGCTCACTTGGCAGAGGTACAATGGTCGTCAAAGCCGCAGTCACTCATATAGGAAACGGCTT